GAAAACATTCCGGCTTCTAGGGCAGTCCCGCAGCAGCCACCGTCCTTTGCCTTCTGCATTTCAGCCCTGCTGTGAGGGTGCAGGAGCAGTGCGGAGATGAGGACTGACTGCACAGCTCCATTCAGAACAACTACACAGGTGAGCACACGTACCTCAAAGTGAGACACCATGGCATCCATCAGCTCCTCACAGAATGGAGGATTTGCCTCAAAAGAGCCACTTATAGGGAAGAAATCCAGGCACGGGCTGGAAGAAAAAGGCAAAGACCCCCTATCAGAGAGGCTAGAATTCTAATTTTCATACCTTAAAAAGCAACCGTTTCCTCAGAAAAGGCAGTCATACTCTCAGAAAGCCGGAATCCCCAGCAGCACAGGGCCTGCTGCTTCTAACAGCAGGACTCGTCACTGGGGACACACTCCATCTGTAGTCACTGAAGGTGACTGCTGACTCAAGCTGACTGCTTGAGGGCCCAGGTCTCCCATTGTTCAGAACAAGGGCAAGCGCTGGCAGACTATAAAACTGCATTACTCCAGGGACCACAGCCCTCTAACTAGACCAACGGCACACTCGTGACGGTTTCACAGCCAGCCTGTGTCCACTCATTGCCTTTAGGCAGGCCTGAAGTCGACATCCTGAGCAGACACCACACAACCAGGTACCACCCTGAACACACAGACACGTCAGCCTGTCTTGAGTCATCGCACGTGCACACACCCACACAGAAATGCAGCAAGGGCACCGGAACGTAAGACTCACCCCCTGGATCCAAAATACCCGTCTGTATCCAAGAAGGCCGAACAGTACTGTTTAAAATAGCAATTCAGGGGCGAGGCAAAGCATTCAAAACTCACTCCGAAGAGTTTGTGGAGGGCTTCGAAGACGTGCACGGGAAGTGCCCCCTGCAGACCAGTTCCTTCGTACAGACCCACACCGAACATCATCTGAGGAGAGCAAACCCCGGTGAGCTGTGCCTGTACTCGCTGTTCCTGCTGCTCCCTTCACTGACCACGGACCCAGGGCCACACGTCCATGCACCCACTCCTCTAGGTACGCAGGGCCCCCTCGTCCTTTCTCAAATTCGTGTAGGTCCCCTGCATGTACCCAAGAATGCTCTTTAGATATTTCATCCAACTCAGGCCCCACAAATGAACTGTCAATTTTCACATATATCCCCCATGAACCT